TTTGGGGCAATCCTAGCCAGATCCATCTGTTTCAAGTTTTCAAAGCCATCGCACCATGCAAAAACACATATTTATAGCTGAATACATTTCCATAACATATCTAATCTTATATTGACTTGAGAATTTTTTGAAAAGAATTACTTTCATCAACTTCAATGAAATCATTTTGAATATACCTTTTCCTTACCAAATTTACATGGTTAGATCAAGTGACAATACTATTCAAACCTTAGATCATGGCTACATGTTTTTTCTGTCGTTACCTCTTGGAGTATTAACCAAGCGAGTTAAATGCTGGAGCGACCCCCAACACTGGCCACTCGACTCCGACTCATCAGGACGGTTACGTTCAATATTTTATAATTTGTCAGTCTGAAGCTGAGTAGATCACATCATATTCAATTTGATCCGTGATGGCGGGCCGCAATAAAGTGACATGAAGTAGTTTTGCATGATTTTATATTGATCCCTTACAGGTAGCCTGAGAGCTGAGTAAGATGTATAGCAACATCAAACAAGGTTACAAAATGGGTTAGCATTAATAACCGGTCTCTGCCAGTTGCATAAGTAATGTCGTCAGAATGCTGGGGCCATCCGCCCATTCCCCTTGACCATTCAAGTGCCAAAACTTACCAGCAATAGCTGTGTAATGACCAGCGATAGCTGTGTAATGGTTTTTGACGTGTCTACCAATGTGTAAGGAAAAAACACAGATGTGTTGATGTATACAGAACCTGGTGCTTTTTCCATACTGAAAATTCAGTTTGCATCATAATTGTTATGAGGGAAAGCAAAACTTGTAAGCATTGAGATGGATGGATAAAAGCTATGTACTCTAAATATTGATATACCACTCACCAGAAAGGCCACTCTGACCATTACATGTACCATAACTCTGACCATTACATGTACCATAACTCACTGGAATACTCTTAAACACTCTCGAGTACATTTGTATATGATTACAGCAACAACTAATGCTATTCTACTTTCAAAGTTTTGCAATTCTAAAACCTTACTTAAAGTTTTGAGTTTAAAAATCAGTTTTATCAATTAAAAGAACATATTTTTGAATATTTTTTTTTAGTGAAACAGAGCTCCCGTTCTGTCCCCCTTGATCAAAACATGGCTATATTCTAAAAGGCATAAAAAAATGGGATCCGCGACCCGTCAGACCATAATCCAATTTCCGTTTTCAGTTTCTTTCACTTAGGTATGAGGAACAGTCTTTCTGATCGCTTGTGTTGCCTATATATTGCATAAAACTCTACATCATTCTAAAATGGCCAATTTATATACGACATTTATTAGATTGTGACAGTCCCGTTCTATATCATTATTAGTGTACGCCATCAAACACTGACATATTCCCGACCAAATTAGTCGAGCCTCGCAAACATATCTTAATCTGCGATATTACCATGCATATCAGTATTAGCGCTATGCACAGGGACATCTGATAAATCGCAGTGCAAATTCATATTTTTACTCATGCAATCTTCCATGCGAACAGACACTTTTTTCCAACGCATGTTACACTAGTCGAGTTTCCGACTGGATTCAAGCTGCCAATATTAAATGTCAAATCCATATTTATTGCCAGTAATCTATTATATTTAATCATCGCTTTCTGGACAATGGCAGTTATTTTCCCAAAGTGCAATTTATCATATTCCATGACATTTCAAAATTATCCGACTAAAACATATCATAATATAATTGGGGCTGTCTACAGCAGGTACAGTGAGCCGGTATTGTGGCGGGTCGAGCTGGGACATGTTGAGATCACTGTAGCTCCATCACTACCACTCACAGGAAGCTAGCCCAATTGGCCTGAGCATGTCAAGTCACAGTGAACTCATCCGTCATCCTTCATCCAATTTCTTCCCCTTTGTAATCATTTTCAATGTTTTTAAATCTCCAATTATATGAATGAAAAAAAAATCAATATTTCTCTCCAATTTACTTTAAAAGAAAATAAAATGCCTTAAGTATCTCTTTACAGTCCTGATAGTTTTTTTTTGTTGGTATGAAAAGTTGACAATATTCATGGCATGTCTAATTAGTGAGTTGTATGAAGAAAGCAGTAATCTTGTAACAGAAATCAAGGTCCATATGTGTACTGATAAAATGACCTATCCTCAAAGCAAGGAACTGACTGACCAACTAGTCTACACACCTACCATAGTCTGAACTAACTCAACCCGAGTCTACCTGCCAACCAAGAAACTGACCAACTAGTCTTCACACCTACCATAGTCTGAACTAACTCAACCAGAGTCTACCTGCCAACCAAGGAACTGACCAACTCGTCTTCACACCTACCATAGTCTGAACTAACTCAACCCGAGTCTACCTGCCAACCAAGGAACTGACCAACTAGTCTACACACTCTAACCCTGATCGACTGTAATCTTTACTCTCTAACCCCAGTCTAAACTTACTTGACCAGAGTCACCTTCCAACCAAGGAACTGACCAACTAGTCTACACACTCTAACCCTGACCGACCAAAGTCTTTACTCTCTAACCCTAGTCTAAACTAATTGACCAGAGTCTACCTGCCAACCAAGAAAAGTATCCATACTCCTCAGCCATAAGTCTGAACTGACTTATCACAGTCTATTGACCGACCAGTATTAGTCCTCAATGACTCACTGGTCATTCCTTCAGGTATAATGTCTTATATCACAGCTCTTTTAAACCAGACCGTTACAACTACTCCCTGTAATGACTACTTAATATCAAAACTGTTAACATTTTCTATAAAGACCATTTAAATATATTGAAACGATTAATCTATATGACCAATCACAAAAACATCTTTGGATGTTTTAATATCACTTGTGATTCTAGAAGTAAAAAGCCATGTGGCGTCCTTCCAGCGTTACGTCATATAGCTGTATTTTTGTACCATACTCGGGATAACGACAAATCAATTACAGGTAAAAATCTTCAATAAAAGTTCTCTCCGCATAGCTGAGCAAATATTTTTATTTCCACATTAAGCAAATATCTTCCACTTTTATTGGTGCCCTTTATGAGCCAAGGCTAATATGGAAATATTAAAATTTCATATTGTGCGAACAGGCTTAATTGAGTTATAATTCATTGGAGACCATCAAAAAACAGGCATTTCTCCGTTATTGAATAATATTCGTCAAATTTATCTATATGTACATGGAGGAGACTCAATAACAGGTCTAGGTGTAGTGTATGGCTTGGTGGTGTAAAACGTGGAGATGAGCTGGCCGGCCAGTAATCCCTGTAGCAATACTCGACATACAAGTGTCCTGCCCTAGCCCAAAGACTTTTTCAACAATACATAGATATTGCCAACACCTGCATATGTTCATACGCAGGTGAAATAAAAATCTGCATGAATACAAAAATTGATAAATACTTTCACAGAGTGCATATTGGCATGAAATATTGCTCAGGAATCAATAAAACAGGATTATCTTCCCCTGAATCAATTACAACACTCCATTCAAATTCAATGTTTGTGCTATCTATAGCTTTCATCTTAAAATTTTCACTTTTGCTGAGTTTAATACAGAAATGTGCCTCCAGATATTAATAAATGAAAAGAAAATGTCTATCTTTTTTGCGCATTAAGATCTACAAACGTATCCCGCACATCATCTGGCCCTATCTGATTGCCGAGCTGTGATGTATGTGTTAGGTTTGTCGCCAGTTACTCACTTCATAAATGTCCCACAACATCATGTGAAACAACGTTACAAGTTTAATGGGTGAAAAAAAAGGTTCAACGGGCCTGTATCACCTTACACCTAAGTCTTATTATGTGTAAATCCAATTAATATGTGATTAAAAAATGCTTCTTTATCAAAAGCATTCTGTGTCCTTTGAAGTCTGAATCAAGTATGTGTGTAAAAATATTTAAAAAGCACACAAATGTTAACATATTTCCAGCTGTTCTGTTAGACTATAAAATCTGTATGAATGTGTGGATGTCTTGTGTATAATCAGTAACACGGAGGTGTTGATGTCTGTACATGCATGTCATCATTTACACACATAAATGAGTTAATGATTGACGGATTTTTATCCTCCATACTTTTTCTGTAGATCATGTTGGACTTTTCAAGCTGTGACGAACCATATCTAAACCCATTCACCCCTAAAGTCACATTTGAACCTTACCAAATCAAAGACTGGGCAAGTCTAGTTTAAACATATAGGGGTGAATAAGTTAACACTTTAAAATAGCAATATCCTATTGTTTTAGACGAAATTTAAAAATAAAATTAAAAAAATGCTACATCAAATGTGCAGAAATGTTATTTATATTAATGAATATAATGTAATTGTGACTTGTAACAGGTGTTTGTTATTTTTGATAATTTTGCTACACTTGGTTGTTTATACTTCATGTTTATCACAGCCTGTCAAGTTTTCACATGTAAAAATATCTGTTTTCATTAATAAAGCACACTTAGTCAAATCAAGCAACACAAGGATTCTAATTGTATGATGGCAATGAACTATAAGGAAACTGAGATAGAAGCAGTTATAATTACAAAAGTCTTTCTAGCCATGTCTTTACAATGTCAAGGTACCTAGAATCCTAGATAGGTATATTTTTCTTTAAATTAAAAAAACACCATTAAATAATAGAAAATAATAAAAAAATATATATCTTTAAGTTGGAAACAGAATACCAAAATACCAAAATTAGCAGTATGTTCGACTGGAGTATAACATGATCCATTAAAGACAATAATTGTCAATAAAAACTAGGCATTTCTGGAACTGTGAATTTGACTAATTCAGTAACTTGGCTGTGATTGTGAATATCCTTGACCTTTGACCTATACCAAATACCACATACCTACAGATACCCTTGACCTTTGACCTATACAACCACATACCTTTTGATAACCTTGGCCTCTGTCCTAAAAAGAACAGAACAGTACAAAACAGCAGAAGAAAGCAGACAGGACCAAAGCAACATAAATATACAAGTTTTATACTTACACATTGACAACCTGGCAAAATCAGATGTTTCTGGGACAACAGTAGCCTTGGATACGGCATCGTTGCTAGGGAGAGGTTGCGATGACGGAATAGGCTTTGTGGACAGTGACAGAGTGGTGGTGGATGACGAGGAGACACGTGATGTGGATTCTGATGATGTGGGTTTTGTGGATATTGTTGAGGATTTCTCTCCACTTGTGATTTCAGGCAGACCAGCTGATTGGATACAGGAGGTGAGTTCCTTGAGAGGGTATGTTGCTGAGGATGCCGGTGGTGTGAGGAGCGAGAGGTGACCATTGGGCAGTGGCGAGGAGCTGGACATACCCATCAACAGCTGTTGCTGTAACTGCTGTATAAGCTGTAACTGAACTAGCTGTTGTTGCTGAAGGCTGTACAGTGTGGTGTGTAACATGGCTAAGTCTGAGGGGGGCAAGTTGTTCTCTGCGAACTGAGCTACAGCAGCCTTGGTGGCGTTTATCGGCTCTAGTGTAACATTGTTATTGCTGGGTAGAAATGATGAAAATGGCAACATAAATTGAGGAAGCTGAAGAGACAGGTCACTTTTACTTTCTGAAGATAACTTCCCATAGTCATTTTCTTTGTCATTTATTTCATCAATATCGTCCAAATCGTCTTCATCAGACACTTCACCATTGAGATATGTGTCCTCCATGATGCCATCATCTTCATCCATTTCGTCTACGAATGTTTCAGTCTGATCTTCCTCTTCTTCCTCCTCTTCTGATTGGTCCATATGTGTCTCACCGTCTGAACCGTCCCGAACAGTCACATCAGAAACTTTGCTCATCCTCGGGATTTTGCTGCTTCGCTCTAACTGATTGTCACTCTGCGAGTTATCACGGTCGTTGGCATCAAAAAATACTACCACTCGCTTATGGCTGCAAGCCTTTTTGTGAGCCAGGAAAGTGGCTAAGTCTGGGAATTCTTCACGGCACTTACCGCAAACATGTGCATCTCCTCCTGGTGAGGCAGTTGGTGACTGACTGTTTTCACCTGAAATATACAAAGAAATATATACAGTAATCAATTACCTTAACAAGGAAACTTATATCTAATTCAATTTGTATACAGCAAAATATCTAAAACGATTGAAACTAAACCTTTTCTGTACCTGGCAAATATAGCAGGGTGTTTGTGCACCATTAAGACTGGAAGGTTTTCCCTTGTTTTACAGCTTTTTCTCATATATAAAAGAAATGTTTCAAATATAGAGATGACAGGCAACATCAATAGTTGGCACACAGTCTGTGTTTGATGAAATCAAAGACATTTAATCTTGACCGATGATGGCAAGAAAGAGATGTAAATTGCAACATAAAAATAATATTATATTTCTTCATGGCAAAGATCTCCGTATGTTCACACATCCCAAGCAGACAGGTAACAAGGTTTTATTATAAGTCTGCGGTATTTAATTCTCCGTTTGAAATACGTGTTTCGTCAGGTGACCAGGTTTTCCTGTGATGTGGGTATTCCGTTTTGACAGGTAAAGGCCTAAGACCACCACACACAATGTAATTTCCTCGGCATCAGTATAGCCTGGTATCAAGTGCAGTTAGCTGAGTGACATTTTTTGGAATGACTTTGGGAGTTCTTCGTCACAGTTAGCTTTAAAGAGTTACAGCGACTGTGATTTGTTGAATGTCTTGGGGGTTACACAGGGACCAGACAGATGACAGGATCAATGATAAGTTTGATGACAGGAATAACGACTACACAGACACAAGATCAACTGGACTGTGTCAAGTAAACATATCAAGATTATCAAAATCATTTTTTACATGATAAACTGTTTGTAGAAAAATGCACTAAGGGACCGTCTGGTAACAATTCCGATATAGATTAGTGAAATGTCTTTTTCTATGTGACCTACAATGGCAATATACTCAAATTGTCATATACCTTACATCAGCCCCATTCTACAGCACAGCAAGTAGACATGTCAAAGATTATGACTAATCGTTAATGAAAAGTCCAGTCTGATATAAAATAACATTTTCTAATCTCCTTATACATATTGAAAAATTATGTTTATTCCGCAGTGTTTTAACTCGAAACAGTTGTTCCGAGGACAGCTGATATGTTGCGCCAAACACAAGTGTCTTCACGGATCAGGACGTAGAAAGTCTATAAATTATTGAGAGATTGACACTGGATCAACGTGTACTAAGGACCAATATTTGTGTAGGTAATCTCTTCAAATCAGTATACACTGTTTCTAAAAATATTCAATATTATTGAAATATTATTCATTTAGCCCAAGGTACTGCATAATAGTATGAAAAGAATTTTTGAAATGTATTTGAAAAACATTTGACAAATTATAAAAGCAATATATTAGAAGCATTGATATAAAACATATTATACCTTATGGATTTTTTCTCCTTCAATGAAAAAGAATTAATGCATAAAAATAATAATCAAACTCCTAAACGATATGCATGAATAAATATTGTATGTATAAAGTTTAATTTTACATTCCATTTCAAATTTCAATGCTTCTTTAAAATTTTGACTATCAAGTCATCTTTATGGCGTAGACTGAAGTGCTATGCATAATAAATCGAGATCAGTTATCTCCAAAAATGTTTGCATTTTTCGTGTATACCAGTTTATATTACCGAGATCAAATTCCCAACATTAATTTCAAACAAAAATGGCTCCAAAAGCAAAATTATTTTCTTGATAACAGAAAATATGAAAATGTTGCTGTCGTGTGCAGATGGCACGTCACACAAGATCGATCATGTTTGGTAAGACAACCTCTGAATTGTGTTGGGTAGCAGTTTCGACAAAAGGTTAATCGTACAACACAGTAATAAATGGAAATTGAATTAACATTTTCTTTTAAAATTCCTTACAAAGTTTTGATATCTCATTAGCATTTTCTTTATCAAACTTGACACAATGTTTTAATATTTTATTAGGTAGTAATCTGCATAAAACTTGAGACGCAATATCTACCAAATAAATGAATATATCAAGTAATTCCTGTCAATAAAGTTGCCCGTATATATTGCAAATCTCAGAGTATCAGATAACAACTAGATAAAAAACATCCAGCTTGTAAAAACAAGAATTGTTTCTGATTTGTTCACACTAGCGGAAAAAACAGAAATGTTGATCAGCCTTGTGATACGTCAATATGTATCGCAGGTTTAGATTGACAGGTTATCAACTTCAGGTATAAATAGAAAAACGAGACAAAGAAATGCTGCGTTACAATAGCGTGTTCTATAAGTCATCAAGTTTGATAAATAGGGATTGAATCGTCCGAAAAGAAAAGTCACAAATTGACGACGATCTGATCCATTACTATCAATCTATAGACGGATGATATCCGGTAATTCAAGCAGAAAAGAATAACTTCCTTTCAAATCAAAACTCTTTTTTCTCCCTTTAATTTTCGATTTGCACTTCCTATGTTTGTGAAGTTTAAGGAACAATATTTTTTTTTTATTCTTTTTGAAGCCAATATTTTTGATAATCTAGAAAATGTCAAAATAACATTTATTGTGCTATAGTAGTGTTAAAATTCCAAACAGTGAACTACTGAAATAATAGGATTTTTAATCTTATGCTTCAAGATCATTTGTTGTACAAATTGTTTCGGAATTCTGAAAACCTGTCTTACTTGGATTATTTTCACCATACATTTAGTTTTGGCATACTTTTGCAAACATTTAACTGCAATATGTGATACACGCACAGCGTCAGCTGGGTCGGTAAAAAATAGAACTGAAACTCAAAAAATTCCTCAGCTAATTGGACGACTGTTAAAATTACAGGCCCATAAAAATGGCTTCCATTACATGAATTATTGATATAAAGAGACTGCATCCCTAACCTCCCCAGGGCAGACATATCATAAACTGGATCCAAAAATGAAAACCTATCCTCAAATTTCTGTCTGTAACAAGTTTCTCATGAATTGGCTCTGAAATGAAATGTGGTTCGTAGAATTTTAATGAACAATTTTCGGATGAAGTACCAAGTGGCTGTCACTTTTTGTTGTTCTTTATTTCACGCTGCTGTATTCAACCCCCTGACTCGGATAGGAGCTAAGCTTCAACAATTCTTCAACAATTCCTGCGATATATTTTCAGAATGTTCCTAAACTTATTTTCAGAATGTTCCTAAACTAAGTGTAAAAACAAGGCACTCTGGCCTTGGTAATCGGTGGATCCCAGGTAAAGAATTAATGGACCCCCATTATCTCAATCAGACATTGACTTGGGGAACTGACCAAAACTCGGGATGGCCTAGATAGGAGGAGCAGATATATCAATGTTGAATGGTGTTGGTAATGAGAGGAACTGACCAGATAACCTCCTCTTTATCTCTAAACATTCACATGGCTGCTTGCTCCAAGATTCCAGGGGCTGAAACACATTTCTCCCATTGACCCCGCTAACCAAATTGTAAGTGACCCCAATTATTTACCCTAACAGGGTAAATCAACTGTGTCATACAGGGTTCTGGTAAAATAATCTCATAAAAAATACATAATCTCTAGGCCCAAGTGTTGTTTTCTGGTATCAACAGTTCAGGGTATGACTAGCTTATCACCTAGTCAAATCACTATATATTTTAGGATTGATTGAAAATAAAATGACATAGATAATTATGCCTTATAAACAAATAAATTTATAGTTATATTCTAACCTGCACATTCAAAACTAATTAGAAATAATGTTTTTTAAGCGTGAGAAGGTATATATTAAGCTGAGCAGGCCATCAGCACATTAGTCTGGTGGAGGGCACCTTAAATCATCCAATCCCCAAATATGATTGTACCTAAGCATGGGGGGCACTTACAAGTGAAATCAGCCATACAGTCATATGGTTCTGGGGAAAAAGCGGGGACGTGTTTAAAATAAATCCTATGGACGTCAGTTTTAAAACTGAAAATAAATATTGACTACAAAAAATTAATATACAGGTAACATTTATTTTTGTTCAATTACCGGTATCAACAATTTGACAATTTCGAAAGAGAAGTACACAATTTTGATGAAAATAAGTTATCAAAATTATCAAAATCTGATAAGAAGAATTATGTAGTGAGATATTTCAAATAATGCCCTTTCCGCTCTGGCAAAAAATTATTTAACTTAGGAAACCCTTTGGGACCCATTAGCTGCCCCTAGTTTCTCCTTCCTCCAAACATATGGCAGATTCTGCATTTTTAGTGCCGAGATGATGACATCTGATGTCCTCGAATCAACATCTCCCCGCATCTTCCTACCATCTTGACACCCTGGGGAGCTGCAAACTACCCCATTACCAAATCTCTAATGAGGCGAAAGAATGAAGCTCCCATTTTTTACTCGGTACCAATTATGCTTTAATGAAGAAATCAGTTATACCCACTGATGTTTAATTATGATTAATATTATGCAATTTTGCAAGAATTAAGTTAGGTGAAGATAAAAAATTCTCACTGATAATAATTCTGTCTTAATTATTGCAAGAATTTTATTTCCGAAATGATGCTGATGAATCTCCTCTTTTATCAAAATTCTATTCATCAAGGCAGTCATTTGTTTTCATATTCCAAACGTTGATTTGTTAAACTTTACATTGTTGTCACTGGGACATGACCTCGGGATCACCGATCATCTGGCTCAATTTGTTTCTCCTATCCAAGAGCCAAACTGTTATATGCTAATTTTGAAATCTCGTAACTCGATGCCATCCTCCATATTATCTTATCATAAGTCGGTAGAAGTTTGCTGATTTTAAACAAAGTACCTAACAAGAAATCTTAGCCTTTTTGAATGCTATCAGTTAACAAACGAGGTTTATGAATTTCAATAATGATAATGAGAGACTTGACAAGTGAAATTCACATAAACCCTGTAATCATATCCCAATGGCCACCTACACCTTCACGAAAAAGACATGAAATGGCAAAAAAATAGTTTCAAAATAATACAGAAATTGACAGCTTTTACGGAAAGGTGGACAGGTGCATTGATTTTCTTACCTGT